AACTAGATGATAGAACCTCTAAAATGTATAAATACGTTGTAAATTTCTCTTTCATGTAATTATTAGTTTATTAGTTTTTATTAGTTTTTTTTAGTAAACTCAAATATTATTATAAATAAACCTTGTCCTTGTCCTTGTCCTTGTCCTTGTTATCTTCGAAAATTACATTTTCGTAGTTAATAATTAATTACTATCTTACCAGGGGGATGCCTTTGATAAGTATAGTTGTATATATTTCTTTAATCTTATTTTCTTTATTTTTATTTTAGATTAGGCCAACGCCTAAATAAGTGAAAACCCTAGCTAGGTGTGGTCAGTAAAGAAACACTGAACCATTAAAACATAACACAACGGTATCAAGGAAGATACTGGGATTATTATCAGAAGGGATAATAATTGACATGTTCCGGCTCAGGCAGAAAACATAGCAACTGCTGAGAAAACATTACCAGACGGGAAGTAAGAAAACTTGCCCTGCAAAGAGTTAAATAGCTTGAGCGCTATACAGAAAAGAAAGTAATCAAAGAATTACACAACTGGATACTGCCATAGGAAGGGGTAAATAATATTATAACTAAATCCAAGAGATTTGTGTGAGACACGGAATTTTGATCTCACAATATCACTATTCATCACCTTTCTCTTTTTCAGCCAAATTCCAAAAATGCCATCAATCACTGGACTGTTCCCACAAAGAAGGATAATTATCCTAGAAAGAGAGAATTATCCTAACTTGGGAGAATTATCTTGAATTAGGATAAATATCTTAATCTAGGCTAATTATCCTAAACTAGGATACATATAATCAAACATGTATATAAGGAATGAGAATTCGCTGTAATTGAAGAATAACTTTGTAACAAATTAACTTAATAATAAGTTAATAATTAGTTTCGACTAAATACAAAATTAAATAAATCATTTTTATCAAATCACTAAAACAAAATTATTCGCTAATAAATCTAATTCGTTAGTATTAGCCTATTCATTCTGATCCACATAAAATAATAAAAATTTGTTATCATCAATTAAAATATGCTCTCCCAAAAATAATTGGTGACACAATTAAAAACAAGGGATGTGTCACCTATCTCTGTTGAGTTAGCAGATGGAACTAAGACCGAAATTAACAAGATCATTGACATTAATAAGCTGGAATTAGGTTCCTATCATACTACTGGAATCACAGCACAAGTAATTAAATTACAATGTTATGATGTCATATTGGGAAAACCATGGCTCTACCATGCCAACCCTAACATCAATTGGAGAGCAAATACATTGACATTTCAATATGGACCAAAAACTATCATTGTTGATGCTGATTCCAGAAACACACACAAGGAATCTAGTTGTAATTCTATTTTTATTTCACGACAGCAATTAGCAAAAGTGCCTGCCAGTGATGAAGTTTTTGCAATTTGTCTTGCCAACCTTGATGATAATAATAGACCACCTATTAAGAATTATGCACCTGAAGTCAAAGATATCCTCCAGAAATTCTCTGATATTTTTCCTGAAACACTACCAAACCAACTACCTCCTAAGCAGAACATTGACCATGCTATTGAATTACTTCCAGGTGTTGAACCTCCATCTCGTCCTATCTATCGAATGTCTTATGCTGAATTGAATGAATTAAAAAGACAACTAGCTGATCTACTTGAAAAAGGGTTTATTCGTCCAAGTACTTCTCCTTTTGGTGCTCCAGTACTTTTTGTACATAAAAAGGAAGGGACACTCCGTCTTTGCATTGATTACAGAGCATTAAATAAAGTTACTATTAAGAACCGTTACCCTCTTCCTCGAATTGATGAATTAATAGATAGAGTTGTTGGTGCAAAATACTTTACAAAGATTGATCTTTATTCTGGGTATCATCAAATTTGAATTAAGAAGATGTTCACAAAACTGCATTTCGCACACGTTATGGCCATTATGAATTTGCAGTATTATCATTTGGACTTACAAATGCACCTGCCACCTTTATGACACTCATGAACGACATTTTCAGGGAACAATTGGACCAATTTGTAATTGTTTATCTAGATGACATTTTGGTTTATAGTAAAACAAAGGAAGAACACTTGCAACATTTACATCAAGTTTTGAAAATTTTGAGACAACATAAGTTATATGCAAAACTTAGCAAATGTGAATTTTTACAAAGTAAAGTGGAATATTTGGGTCATTATATTTCTGCTGAAGGAATTGCTGTTGACACAAGAAAAACAGCGGCTATTAAAGATTGGCCAGCACCTACAAATGTTTCAGAAGTTAGATCATTCTTGGGACTTGCCAACTATTATCGCAAGTTTGTCAAAAATTTTTCCAGTATTGCATCACCTCTTACATTACTACTTCTGCTCCTGTACTACTTCTTCCTGACCCTACTAAACCTTTTTCTGTTACAACAGATGCATCTGACTTTGTTATTGGTGCCATATTAAGCCAGGATCAAGGCAAGGGTGAACAACCAGTAGCTTATGAATCTAGGAAACTTTCACCTGCTGAACTTAATTATCCAGTCCATGAAAAGGAACTTCTTGCAATAGTACATGCCATTAAATTATGGAGACCGTATCTAGAAGGACAAAGGTTTACAGTTATTACTGACCATGCTTCACTTGAATACATTAAGTCACAAACCAACCTTTCTCAAAAACAAGCTAGATGATTAGAAGTCCTTCAGGCAACAGACTTTGATGTTAAATACCGTCCAGGGAAAACTAACGTAGTTGCTGATGCTCTTTCTCGACAAATTCATCTTACAAACATGACAATTATTTCTTCCAAATTAGCTGATGTTTCATTTCTACAACAAGAATATCAAAAGGATAATTATTTTCACCTATTTGGAATGTTCTAAATGACAGAGGAGCCAAAGATCCAAAACAACAAACCTGTGTAAAATACTTTGAGTTGAAAGATGGTAAGATATATTTAAAAGAAGGTTCACGATTAGCAGTGCCATCCAATAAACAACTTCAAACTCAGTTACTTCAAGAACACCATGATGTAGAGATTGCAGGACACCTTGGTATTGATAAAACATATGCAACAATTAGTAGAAA